AGAACAAGCTTGCTTTGGCCATTACCTGGGCTGTATTTCTTTATGAATAAGTAGGCAACAGAGGTTTCACATTCTCAGGTGGCACCAAATTCTAAGAAACGAGGATGAAAAAAATCCCACTCTTTATAATTCTGATTATAGCGGTTCATTATTTTCTGAAAATGGACATGGAGAAGAGTCTAAGTTGTTTTATGTTTTGTTAGCTGGTTTTAATTTATCAGCCGCCCATTGCAATATATTTTTCCAACTAGTTGCACTGTAACTTCTGGAAAAACATCTACCCCCTGCTATTTAAATTCTGATGTGTATGTTCTTGTGCGTGTTCATAATGTTTCCAGACAGATTCGAAGTATTTGTTTAAAAGCTAGAAAAATCTGGTCTTCAAAATTCAGAAGAACTTTGTGGCTCCTACTGGTGTGTAGAGATTTATCATCCTAATGTCTGTCAATACCTCAGGGAAATTAATGCCTCTTGAGTAATGCAATGAATGTTGAGTCTCGATGCCAAGGTACTTGTGGGTTATGACTATAGGGATGATGTTATAGTGTGGTTCCAAGCAAAAAGAGCTGTTGCAAATGAGATAATCATGAGTCATCAGCCACGTTGCTCTTCCAGATAGTGGCTGGGGGGTATTCCTGTAGCAATGGAATGGCAGCTGTGGCATAGCCGTGCTGGCTGCCCTGCAGTGTGCACATCAACCTTGCAATGTTGCGGGCTCTCTTGCGTGGGACAGTGTGCACTGTCACTGCCAGAGGTTGGCAGCCAGCTCTTCTATAATCCTGTTGGTCTGCAGTAGTAGGGAGCCTATAAACAGGAAGGGAGTCAACTTGTTGACAGGGTAGATAACAGCAGGACAAGGGGAAATGGTTTGAAGTTGAGGGAGGGAAGATTGAGGTTGGATGTCATGGGGAAGTTCTTTACAGAGAGAGTGGTGAGGTGCTGGAACAGCTGCCCAGAGAGGCTGTGGATGCCCCGTGCATCCCTGGAAGTGTTCAAGGCCAGGTTGGATGGGGCCCTGGGCAGCCTGGTCTGGTATTAAATGTGGAGGTTGGTGGCCTGCATGTGGCAGGGGGGTTGGAGATTCGTGATCCTTGAGGTCCCTTCCAACCCTGGCCATTCTGTGATTCTGTGAGTATAAAAGAAATCAGATGGGGAGGAATTTGTTTGACCTTTGCATGGAAATACTTGAGCATTGTAAGCCTAATCTGCAGCAGTACAGTCAAGCAGATGAAAGTTTCAGGTAAAATCAGTGATGTGACAAGAATCTTATCACTGATTTCTGTTGGCATCAGACAGCAAGTTCCGTCTTGCCCACAAATCTCATGGCCGTGATTTACTATTTCATGATGTGGCCAGCTCACAAGAATGGTACTTTTGTCAGGTCTCTGTGCTATTTTGGTTCTTCCTAGTTTATCCCCAGCTCCTGATCTGCTAGTGTGCTTTCCATCACGCGTATCTCTGCTTCCTTCTGTCCTTCATCAGTGCTTCCACAAGAATCCTGCTTTGCCATGAAATTGGTGTGTTGGATGAGGTGGAGTGGTTGGTTAAACTTCTTGTGATCAGGACAGTTGGTGACATTATTTCTGCAGAAGAAAACTTCCTCTTGAAGGGAATATCTTCTTGGTTGTGTTTCCCAGATGTCGTGATGGAGAATCTGTCAGCTTGGGTTTGCTGCTTTGTGATGGTGGTGATGCTTTGTGACCATTTTGTAGCACTTCTGAGTGAGCACTGCAGGAAAACGTTCTGCTCTTAGCACTCTCAGTGACCTCAGATAGACAAAAATCAAGTAGGTAGCATGGACTGCTGGGCAGTTGAACTGTCAGCTTTATGTATTAAGTGGGGAAGAAAGGAGTAGACAGAGTGATAAGAAAATGAAGCCTGTGGGTTGTGGAAAAACATGTAAAGAACTTGAATTAAGTATTTCATACAGCTAAATCTTTTGTGGTTGTCAGGATCTCTCTGTTTACCATTAGACCTTCCTCGGGAAGAAGGTCTAGTGCCATCTTATAGCTTGACAATTTGGTCCCAAAGTAGAGCTGTTATCAACAGCAGTTCCACCTCTGAGACTCCACAACAACCAAGTTCAGATTGTGGGGAAAATAGTGTTTAAGTTTTGAGATGATAAACAAATCAGATGTCAGTCTCAATGTTCTAGGAGGAGTTTCATCTGAGAAAATATTTTGGTGTTCATTTGTGACTGTATGGAAAGCATGGAAAGGTGAAACCGTCCTCAAATGTCCTGTCTTGGTGCTAACTGAGCATGAGCCCAGGCTTCTGATGAAACTAAGAAATGGTTATCAATTAGCATTGGTTTCAGGAAGCATTATCATGTCAAGACATCTCAGGGTGCCTTTACAGAAGAAAAAGATACAATAATTTAATAGCTCGGTCTGCTGTGCCAAATGAATGACTCAAAGCAAAGCAGAAATAAATGACTATGAGCTATAGTTTCACAATTGCACCAGCCTGCAGGAAAGTGTCAATTTATTTCCAGTGTATTTTTGCTGGGAGTGATAGGAGATACCATTACAGAGCTTGAGCTTGTCTGGAGAGTTAAGGACAGCTGGCTTTTTATTTCCCATTTACCAATGCTGGTTTTGATTTCGGTTTTCAGAAGGCCTTTAGGCAACAAAACAGGTGAATGACACAAATGTGCATTTTATGTATATCTGAGCAGAAGCTCACTGCTGGAAGAGGTGTTGGCATTGTGCTCCTCTACTAAACTCAAGGACAGATGCTTCACAGTCCGTGTTGGTTTTTTTATGGCTGTGGAAACAGGGCTGGCCAGAAAGCATTTCATGGAAATGATATATGATACATGGGTACTTGAATTTTGGGTGAGAAATTCCTCCGTTGCGTGGTTTCACAAGACTCTACAGTTTGATTCTTTTGTATTTTCTGGCCAAACTGCACTTCCTCAATGCACTGTCACTTTTCCTTGGTGAAAGCTTGTGGCGTATTGAAGACCATAAAGCAGAACAGCTCAGTCCAGGACAATGACTGCCTTAGTGCTGGAGCGATGGCCGTGCTGGCTGGGATGCTGCAGACATCAATATCCAATCCCTTTCTCATCCAAGTTGGCAAATTTTTTCCCATGTGTGCTCTGCGTAAGCTACGACCCCTTGAAAACGTATAAATCTGTTTAACTTAAAGCCTGGAAATCAAATGAAAAAATGATTCCGGTGACCTTACTTCTGCTCCTTGTATGACGAACACGATGGCATCTCAAACCAGTTTTAATGCACTGGAGCAGAGCCTGAAGTTGGCACAGGAGTACAGCTTTGGCTTCAGTCGTTGAGATGCCAGAAGAGATTGGAAGTCCTTGAAATTCTTCCAAGAAGTCACTTTGTCCTGGCTGGAAACTGGCATTTATCAGTGCAGATGATAGTGGTGTATTTTAGATGGCATCAATATTGATTTGTATACAGTGCTAGCTTTTAAATATGATTTAAGATAAAGCTCAACTAAACGTAAGACATTTCTCCACGAAGCATTGATTTAATGTTCATGTTTTATACATTGCTTTCTTTGCGATAGCCTTCCCCTCTGCTTACGGAGACATCCCAAAAATGCTTCTTGGGTTCCCCTATCAGGTGGCTGTGAAAGCCCCACAGACACTTCTGCACGTGTGTAAGTGTGCAGAAGATGCATTCGTGCTGTCCATCAGGCAGCTCCAAATGCAATGAATGCATGGCACTCAATGGTACTCAGCTCAAAGTCGTTCTTTCCCTGCCGTGTGCTTGCACTTGAGTTACTCTTTTCCCATAGAGGAACACGGGGATGCTTGATGGAGGTGTGGGAAAGTGAAAATAGGTTTCTTTCTTTAACAGTTCTATAGGGCAGTTTCTTACATTTTGCTTGTTGGAGTGTTGTGCATTTTAACTGAAGTCTTAACTAGGCTAGGAAGAATTTCCCATTTGATTTGTAGTTAATCTAGAGCAGTTCTTGCCGGGTGAAATTACAGTTTACGCTGAGTGTCATTCGCCGCGTGCGTCTCTTTACTCGTTCTAGGGCGTTTCAAAGTGTGAGGGCTGGAAACGAGCAGAGCGGTAGCTGCCGCTCGCTGCCTGAATGCCGCCGTCCGGATCTCCCAGCAGCGCGGACGTGGCGAGGCATCAGCTTGGGGCGGGAGCGAAGAAAACATCTTCCCGGCAGGTTGGAGTGCCCGGGGCGGAGAGGTGATGCGTGGGGCCGGCTTTAACCAAGGGGCTTTGGGAGCTGCTCGCGGCGGGGCCCTGCGGGCAGGCAGGAGCCGCGTCCGCCCGTCCCGGCGCTGTGCGGTGTCCAAGCGCGGCGCACCGAGCGCTCCGCCCGGCGTTGGCGAGCAGCGGCTTTCCGGCCGCGTTTCTCAGCAAGCCGACCTGTTGTCGAACGGTGGTTTTGTTTTGCCTTGCTTTGATATATATGCATTTTTTTTTTTCTTCCCGCTTGAGGTTTAAAAAGCGGCGTTTGGCCGCTAAGCGGGATGCTTGCATTCCGGCTTACTTTGGTTGCCTGCCAGGTGGAGCTCATCTCGCTCAGCATCCTCCTAACAGCAAGCAAAAATTGCCTCTTCTCCCAAGGATTAATTATTCAAGGCGTTTAATGTGTTTGGAGAGGGAGGGGGGGGTCGGGGAGGCGGCCACTCGTATCCATCCTGGTGCCGCAGCGCCTGTCCCCGCTTTGTCTCGCACCTGGTGTGTTTGCGCGGCTCGCGGGTCTTCCTCCTTCACAGCCGCCTCCGGGGGGCGGCCGGGGGAAGCGGGCCCGGCTCTCCGTCGCGTCGGTCCCGTCCCGCCCCGCACCTCGCCGCCGCCGCCCGCGGGGATGCTCGGGGCGGGGTCCCCTCCGCGGGGGCTCCTCGGGCGGGGCGGGGCGGGGGCGGCCCGGCAGCCTCGCGGGAGCGGAGGAGGGGCCGGGGGCCGGGCGGTGCCGGGCCGGGCAGCGCGGGGGGTTCGGCGGCGGGCGTGGTGCGGCGCGGCGCGGCAGGGCTTCGCCTCTCACTTCGGCTTCTCCTTGCAGAGCCCCGGCGCGCCGCTGAGGGGACGGGGAGCTTCCTCCTGTCTCCGGGCTCGGGTCGGGAAGGAGCCGGCTCGCGGCATCCCGGTCCGCATCCCGGTCCGCATCCCGGCTCGGCTCGTCCCGCCTCGGGTATGGGCCGGCCCGCTTGAGAGCCCGCTGCTGCCCGGAGCGCCGGTGGCCAAGGAAGATGCGCTCGGTGCGGGGGGCGGCCGGCCTCCTGCTGCTGTGCGGCGGTGAGTACCGGGCGGGATGCCCGCCCTCGGGAGCGGTGCCACCGGCTGTTCGGGCCGGCTCCAGAAACCTTTCCCCGAATCTAAACGAGATAGGAGTAAACCTACCGCTTTTTCTTTGCTTTTTAAGAGCGATCGCTAAGTTAGAACAGATGTGAGTTTCCTTGTTCTTTAAATTTATGATGTGAAAGGGAAGAATATTCAAGTATGTTCCCGTGTAAGTTTTTCAGAGATGATGCCTTCTCTGATGCCCTTCTCCCGGAGCTTTATGCACCGTCAGATGAAATTGGGTTTGGATTGATAAGTGACAATGACCAGAAGATGAAAAGTTATTGGCTTGTAACTTAGATGATGCTGCCCACAGATGTGAACTTTCTAAAGCAAACAGAAAATGCATTATATCCCTGTTTCCTCCATATGGCGATGTTTGCCGACGCATTTCTGATGTTTACATACGTAAATCCAAGTTGTTTGCTACAGAGAATGCAGTGCAGCCCTGCACACCACAGATGTGCTTCTGAAAAGAGAAAGTGTGAATGAGACCAGCAGTCAGGTGCAATAAGATTTGTGTACTTGTGATTTTCTAAAATGTGCAATGATGTGCTCCTTCTCGCTATTTCTAATTAATTATAGTAGTTCCCAACAGCTTACACTGCTTTTATGAGTCAAAGATTGATTGCAGATCCTCTATTTGTTATCTTTTTTTTCTTTTTTTTTCACTGTGATGAAATACTTCAGGTTGCCTTTAGTCTTTTTCCTCGTTGTTCCATTATTCTTACGGCCTTCTGATCTTTGTAAATACTCACTGGCATTCAAACCTGGGTTGCCTGCAAATAAAATGGGTAGAAAATGCGAAGTCTAAATACTCATTAAAAATAAATAAGTAAATAGAGTGGCTTGTGTTCCCAGTCATTTCACTGTCAGGAAGAATCAGCCAGACTTGGATTGCTCTTGGGTCATCTATCATACTGCTTTACTTTTGTATTTATGGCAAATCCATTTTCTTTAATGTTTGTGGCGGAATTAAGAGAAATCTAGTTTACCTCAGATCTTCAGTCTGAGGGGTTTGGTTTCTTTAATCAGAATAGCACACATGCATTTGCTTGGAAAAGACTTGTAGTGATTTCACTGTAAGCTGGACGGATGAATTTATTCCTGTTCCTGCTGTGGTGCCCCATAACACTGTATGTACTGAACCTAACAGATGCTCAGACCTCCCTTCCGAGCTGCTTTCTCCTATGTCATCTTTTCCTTTATTTCTTCAGTGTATCCCTTTAATTGGATTGCTGTTTGATTTTACGTGTAGTAAACTATGGATGGGGAGGGGAGCTGTCTATGTGTCTTTTCTGTACCAGAGAACAGATAACTAATCTGTTCTTTCAGTGTCAGAACTAAGCAGATGGATATTGGTTCAGCCAGAAACCTGTTGTTGTTAAATATAACCACAAATTGTTAACTCTTGGATTTGTCTGTACCTTGGAGGAGTATTAGAGGAGTTAATTTGAGTTGGATAGGCTGCCAAGTTGATTTTCTTAAAATACCATTTGCTTATGCTTGCACAATCACAAATATTTGTTTACTCTCTCAGCTTTGACTGGTGGAGCTTCATACCTGATTCTCCTCAATTTTTACCAAAAACACAGGAAAAAGAAAAAATTATCTGTGTTTAGGATCACGCTTTAGCATAATGGCATTCATAGTTAGTTCAAGGAGTCTACTGTATTAGCAGTACTGGCTGGGTATCTGTTGCTGGTGAACGAGTGTTTTAAGTTGGGATGTGTGATATTAATTCCGATTTATGGAATAAAAGCTGAGTCCATAGTAGGGTGAGTTGGTGTGTCTTGGGAATATTAGCAAAATGAGCAAAAAAAAAAAAAAAAAAAGAGTGCCAATTTAGAAACAAAGTCTGCGTGTGATGCCAGCGGGATGAGGAGTGCATCAGTGTAACTTCAGTGGGCTCCGTCCTGGGGGAAATCCAGAGAGTCTGCACTGATATCTGTGGCTGTCGTACTCTCTCTGGACATGGAGAAGAAGTATGACTCTCAGCTGTGTTAGACCTCATCACATGTGCATGGGTGTCCAACTGTCTGGCTTGCCTGAGCTGTGGAGTTTGGTGACCCTGCCTGAGGTGGGGGATTGGAGATGGATGATCCTTGAGGTCCCATCCAATCCGGGCCATTCTGTGATTCTGAGAGTTGTTTGGGGCTGCATATAAAATATATGATGTAGTCAATTTGTGTAAGTAGCAAAGCTTCTATTTTTTAATATGTTTTATTCCCACATTAAAAACAAAAGAGGGCAATAAAACCATAGAAGTAGTGGGTTGGACACATAGGTGAGGATTCCCACTCAGTATATGGTGATGCTCACGCACTCAGCCTCCCTTGGTACATCTTTGGTTTATCTAACCTGTCACATTTTGGAAAACCTTTAAGTGGTCCTTAAGACATACGCTTATAGATGACACAAAGGTTTCTCAAGTGTGGACAAGACTGTATTTTAACAGGTGAGCTGGATTAGTCAATCTGGTGAGCATGTTGTTGGTTGAATGGGTGGGATCTGGTTCTTTGGCAGACCAAAAAGTCCATTTGTTTCGAGGCAGAAAGGATGCAGCCTTGCTGCTCCTTCACCAGAAGCCATGTGGGAGTCTCCTGCAGGCACTGATAATAAAGTGAGGCAGCCAAGAAATAGGGGAAATAAAATGAATGTCTCTTCTCAAGTTAAGACTTCTGTTGTTTCAGCGTTATCAATTAAAAGAAATGCAGATTTGCATTACAGAGTAAGCAAATGGATTTTTCAGAAGTGGCCTGTGGGAAAGACATAGAATTGTATCATCTGGAAAGTAATTTTTGTTATTAAAGGAAATATTTTCTGGGAGGTGCTCTGTCTTCAGTAAATAGGATTTGTAAGCATTACATATGCTTATGTGTTTTTTTTTTTTAGTTTGAAACAGAAACATGTTTCTACATGGAAATAACAGAGATGCTTCTTGAACAATAGTGCTCTTGAATATAGGCTATTGAAAAGTTTTATTGACTGTGGCACGGAACTACTGATGAATGTATTTGTTCTGGTATTCATTTAAGCACAGTGTGGAATCAACTCTTACAGTGCAGCTCCATGCTGCTAGGGTTACTGTTAATGTTTTATTTTGACTGGTTACGATTTACTACAAGTCCTGGCTCAACTCATGTGTTCAGATCAAGGACAGGCTTTAGAAGCCAACTGTGCAAATATTGACATTCTTCTCTTCCAACTCTAGATATTTTGTGTAATATTTGTGTTTCATGATAGAAAAAGGATGCTTTCCCTAGGAAAAAAACACCGATGTGAACAGCCCTGCACCTCTGTTCAGACCAAAGCAGTGCTAATCAGACCACGTAGTGGAGCACAGGCCACTGAGTTGATGGCCAGGCTAAAGACAGACGTGCATTTGTTTGCATGGTTGTTATTTTGACTGTGATCTGGTCGCACAGTATGTGATATTAATTATATTTTCTTTAGATTACATTCCTGTCCGTAGGGAAATATGGAAAAGAGTCAATTTGAGGGTTGTTAGGGTGGTGTGGTTAGGTTGCAGTTGGACTTGATGATCTTTAAGGTGTATTCTGAGCGATTCTATGATTCTGTGGTTCTATCTGAGGAGAAAAGCAAGAGGAACTTTGTTAGATCTTAATTGTCTTGTTTGGAGAGGGCATAGGAGTTAGAAGGAAACCTTGCTATTCTCTTTAAACAGCGCTGAGAGGACAGTGCTTCTTTCCTGCCTTATTATTTTCCTCTGTCCCCAGATTGAGCTCTTGCACAGCCATATAGGTAAGAGTGAGCTGCTGGTGCCAGTGCTTCCCCTCATGGGCCACAGGTGCCCATACAGCAGTGATACTGCTGCTTTGCTTGCACAGAGCTGATGGCTGCTTAGTCCCAGCGCTCTGGCAAACCTGAGCTCCCTTTAGGCTGAATCTCTCCACTCAATATATTGCTATGCCCAGGTCCTTCACCTTCCTTTTCTCACTCAAGTCCATAACCTGCTGCCTTTTCCATCTCATAAATCATAGAATTGAATCGCTCAGGTTGGAGAAGACCTTCAAGATCATCAAGTCCAACCACAACCCAACCATACTACTCTAACATTTACCCATACATCATGTCCCTGAGCACCACATCCAAATGGTTTTTAAACACATCCAGGGATGGTGACTCAACCACCTCCCTGGGGAGCCTATTCCAGTGCTTAACAAACCTTTCTGTAAAGTGTTTCCTGATATCCAACCTATACCTGGTGCAATTTGAGGCCGTTTCCCCTTGTCCTATCACCTGTCATTAGTGAGGATAGAAATAGCAATGTTTTGGGTTGTTTGTTTCTTGTGGGGAATGTGTGTTAAAATGATGACAATAGGACTTGGTGTTGCATTTATTTCCCTACCTCCCATTGCTATTTTTGCTGCGCCTCCTTTCCTCAATTGCCTGCCTTTGCCTTTCTTCTCACTGTGTGTTGTAGGGCAACGTTCAACATCAGCTTGATCAGTTGTGCTAGTCATTCTGTTTCAGTCTTGGTCTTTTGCTTCATTCGTGGGTTTTGTTACTAACATAAAGACAGCATAAAGGAAATTGATATGAAGACTATAGCAGGCTAGAATTGTAATGCTAAAACCTACGTTCATTAAGCTTTGATTAACAGAGAAGATTTCTTGTAGTATTACCATATGCAGTCAGCTTGTATGACAGTGCTGCTTCAGCACCTGAATACTAGATGTACATTCAGTAGTATGCCAACATTCTGCTTTCCATCTGTGTTGTATTACAGTCTGCTAATTTTTTTTTTTTCTTTCTTCTTTTTCTGAAACAGCAGACAGGACTGGTGAGAAAACATGTATTTTGTTCACTCTCTGTTTCCTCCTCTTTCCCCTGCTTTTGGGCCCTGGCAGGAGGGAGAGGATTTATTTATTTGTTGATGTACTTGCATTCCTGGCACCGTTGCTTTGGCTGGTTTGAAGGCGAGCACAAAT